GCTAATATCTAGGGATTTTTGGTGGCCTCAAATGTGGAAGGTAGTCAAAGATTTTGTACAATCATGTGATGTTTGCTCAAGATCAAAAACTCCTCGTCATCGACCTTTTGGACTTCTTCAGCCATTATTCATTCCAAAACAACCATGGTCTTCTATTTCTATGGACTTCATCACGGATCTTCCAATCTCATATTCTTATGATTCTATATTCGTGATAGTAGATCGTTTTATCAAGATGGTTTATTTTTTACCATGTACAAAATCTATCACAGGTAAAGAAACAACTAAGCTCCTTCTTGACAATATCTATCGCTATCATGGATTATCTAAGGATATTATATCAGATAAGAGAACTCAGTTTGTATCAAGATTTTGGCGGACTCTTTTCAAGATTCTAAAAGTCGATATAAAACTACCTTCGATATTCTATCCTCAAACTGATCGACAAACGGAGCGTGTTAATCAAGTTTTGGAGCAATATTTAAGATGTACCATTAACTACCAATAAGATGATTAGACAACTCTTTTGCCATTGGCAGAATTTGCTTACAATAACATGATACATTCTTCTACAAAACAAACATCTTTCTTTGCTAATTATGGTTATCATCTATGACTTGATACTTTTGACTTTTCAAAAGTTGATTATCATGCTGCAAAAGATTTGGCAATTCATTTATTAGAGCTACATGCAACGATGAAGGCACAGTTAAAAGAGGCTCAAGAACAACAAAAAGTCAATGTAGATGTCTATCGAAAGGAACAACCACCATTCCTCTTGGGTGATAAGGTATGGCTACTTTGTCATAATATCAAGACCACTCGTCCTTGTGATAAGTTGGACTATCAAAGGCTGGGACCATTTTCTATTTCTACACAAATCAATCCAGTTGCATATCGTTTACATCTACCGGAGTCAATAAAAATCCATCTTGTATTCCACGTGTCTCTTCTTGAACCACACAAGACAATGGACATACCAAGAAGACAACAAGCTCCACCTCCTCCTATAGAAGTAGACAATAATAAAGAGTTTGAAATAGAAGAAGTCTTAGATTCAAGGCGGTGCCGAAATAAATTGGAATATCTTGTCCATTGATGCAGATATGATATTAGTGAATGCACATGGGAGCCAATAAAGAATCTTGCAAATGCAGCAAAGGTGGTGGAGGCTTTTCATTGACAACATCCATCAAAATCAAGATGAAAACCTTCTTTATAAAAAAAATAAAATCTATGCAAGATAACATTCTATTTTCAATCCTTGTTTGTAGCTTCTTTGTAGTTGTGATGCTCAGGAGATGGAGAACCAACAACCAGTGGATTCGACTTAATAGCCTTCATTTGCTGACGTGCCGGACGAGACATTACAATTATCACAACCTTCAAGATGACGAAATCGAGATGAAGATCTTTAAGAATGACATGTTCTTCCTCGCATAGATGGCGAGATATAATGCATTTGGTATCATGATTTGGGAAGGGACTCCCGATGTTTGGTGATTTTGCTAGAGGTAGGAACAATTCTTGATGGTGTTCCAAATGTTCTATTCGAAAGAAGTTATGAAGGCCTCAACAATGATCAAATAACTAGGTGGTCTTTCCATTGTCATACTGTAAATGCTTACAGTATGTAAAAATTAGCTAAAACATATTATATGTTGATAAATCTAGATGTATGTTAGAGTGACTAGTAGATTAAATTAAAAGGATTTGGTATAAAAAACTTTACTTCGTTTCTTTACTTCTTTTGATTTTGATATATATATATATATATATATATATATATATAAGACCTAAATGTTTAGTATGAAGCCTTGGGAGAAGGTGAAAACCTAAGGATGAAAATCTAAACTAGTAGGAGGCTAATTGAAAGGGATGAAAGCAAGGCATGGTCGGATGAAGGCAAGGAATGGAGAAATTCATCCCTATTGGTCGAATACCATGCCCAATAGGCTTCAAGGAGGCTGCTCGAGGCCTTATTAGAGATTACGGTTCCTCTTTCGAGGGCATTTGGAGATTAGAAGCTAAGGTTGTAAATTTTAGGATTTGGAGAACAATTTTTGTATAAAAATTAAAGGATCTGGAGTTAGGGTGAAAAAGTTATAACCGTTTGAAGTTAAGGTGTTTATTTAAGACATACTATTACTCTTTTGAGAATACGAGGAGTTTTGTAGCAGCTTTTGAAGATCGGAAGAGGCTACTGAAACGAAAATTTTAAGGCCTACATCTTTCACGAAAGAATTATTGCTTTTGGAGTTCACATGAAGGAGTTGTAAGGAGTTGAAGAGGATGCTTCTAAATCAAAAGCAGTAAGTAAGCGGGTTTATTTGTAGTAATGGTTGGAGCCATAACTTGAGTTTTCGAACAAATTTTTAGTTCCAACTTTTTGGAGAATGTAAAATTTTGTGTTAAAAAGCTATACATACAAATTTCGTGGCATTTGAGCTTATATTTTGTGAGATATGAAGAAAATTGCACGCAGATGTATAAAGACAAGGGTTTGAAGTGACTGTTAGAGATTTCAAGATATCTCAAGATCTACAATGAATTTCCGGTTGAAAATTGTTGTAGAAGTTAATAACAATACATCAGTACCTCATGTAAAATTTGAGTTTGTTTGGACGGTCGGATTAAGAGATATGAGGTGTTGAATTTCGGAAAAATCTCCACATAAGAATAAACAAGGATTTAGAAGATTTTATCATATTTTGGAAGTTGTGGATTACTTGAGGATTGTGTATTTGGTGTAATTACTCAAAAAGAGAAAAATTATATATAAACTTAGGGCTTCCCTTATTTTCAAGCTTGATTGAATAATTAGTGACAGCCAGAAGCCTAGTGTTTTCTTGAGGCAAACTCTCTCTACTCCGACACCGCCCTAGTAATTCCACGATGGTTGAGAGGCCCTATTAATCATCTTCGAAGAGAACAAAGATCAGAGTATGTGGCAAATACAATTCATCGCATCATATATTTCTTCAACATATGATGACCGCTCTTCATGGAATTCATTTCTAGAAGAGAAGATAATGTCACGGACATACTCATGTAAGCTAGTAATTACATATACAAATAGGTGGAAGTAAGTAAAAATAGGTAAAAATAAGTTAATTCTATAGTATTTAATATGGAAGCTTTCTAGAAGCTTGTATACTCTCAAAGGTTACCCTCCACATGAATTCCAATGGATAAATGAAAGGAACTTACGACATGTGCAAGGATTAGTCACAGCTTTTAACAAGAAAGTTGATAACTATAAAAGACCTAGAAACACAAGGAAGTAGATCAAAAATCACTTAAGGATAAGTTGATTAATTGATAACTAAGTGTGGGGAGAGATTATTGACAAAAGTGATCAAGAAGATAAGGACATCTTCACTCCAAAGTGGAGGAAGGTCACAAGGTTATGTGACTTGTAAGGAAATATATATATATATATATATATATATATATATCCACGAGCTAAGATATAAGGAGAGATTAAAAACTTAAAAAAAATAGATGGTAGAAGTTTTCAAAAGATATAAGGTTTTGAAAGGATTCCAACCCAAGGGGACTCTGTAGAAAGAAACCTTAAGTAGCTTATATGAGGCGGATATAAGACTCTAAGCAATTAGATCTAAACGGTTGGCCTTTTCTAAATGGATTTCTCATTGAGTGATAGCAAGTTACTTCCACAAGGTAAGGAAGGGTACTAAGGTGAGGCGGATCTTAGTTAAGGAGTTCTATGGTTGAAGCTAAGTCTAAATAGAAAGTAATATTTTTACCATTCACATTGGGAAGTGTAAACTTTCAAAATACATGGAATTGAGAAAACTTAAGGAAGTTGAAGGCAAAAGGAAAGTTGCACAAGAGATGTGAGAAGGAAGTAGCATCCCATGTCAATAGGAAAAAAAAAAAAAAAAAAAAAAAAAAATCCTCTACTCCAAAACATCTGAAGGACTATAAGGAATAAATTGAGGCTAAAGAAAAGAAGCCTTCAAGCTACTTAGAAGTAAATAGGATGTAGTCCAAAACATCCACTATATAAATCCTCTTAAAATAAGACTCATATCCTTTTATGTCAATGAGGACATTGACTCTCCAAAGAGGAGGAGGATGTAGGGGTCGAAAAGTTTGACCCTTGCACTTGCAAGTCTAAGAGGTAAGTGAGCCTAGGCGATCTCCATGCCCATAGAAGTGCTGTGGCAAGATGGCAAAGGAATGGTTGGGCAGGCCACCTCCCTCAACACCGAGGGATCACACTGTCCTGGGGCACACTGCGGTATGAAGGATTTTATGAGGATTCCCAGCAGAATCCTAAGTGCCTCAGAGGAGGTCCTGAGGACTTATCCGAATTAGGAAGTAAGAAGGATGAACTAATGGTGGTTGTGTTTTAGGTGTCAACAAGGTGACTAAATAAGAGAACCATTACATCATGCAGCAGTGCTGTAGATGATAAGGCACCACTTTTGACCTGATAATCCATGTTTGACTTATTCTGTTGCATTCATCTGACTTTTTATTTTCTGGACTCATTAGTCGTACCAATGCGGGATCCAAAAAGGAAAGGATGACGACTGAAAAAGATGCCAAGTAGGCTGTTTGTCGAGCCTCATCTGGTCACGAAATGATCATCGATGCACAGTCTCGGAGTCTCTGGGATCTAGACCCTCTAGGCATCGATCACCTGTAGCTGGCATCGTGATTCAATTGTGACTAAACTGCAGAAACGTTGCCAAAAACATGAAAACACACACTCAGAAAAACAAATCATATCAGATTTCGAGCTGCAAAGGGGCGGGAGGAATTCCATACTAATGGCAGGACTTTCAAAGAGAATCGCGGTGGTAAGATTCCCAGATCGCAGAGTGCCCACGCCTATTTTGAACAATGGGGTAATGTGGGCCCGCTTCTGGACAATCGTCTTGCTTCCGCGGATCCCAGCTCGCGACAGATACCCTTTGCTTCCTTCGAAGGAAACTGCTTGAGACGTGACGATTGGTTCGTTCTGGCTTGTGGTGCAGGTGGGTCTGTGTGTGATTGCGAGCGAGTGTGTGTGAGTGTTCGTTTGTTTCAGTGTTAGATTCGATTTGGATCATCGGAATAGTCTGTTTTTCTATAAATTGGGGCGGAAGTGGATGATCGGTGTGTCGTTCGTAGGGTATGAGAGGGAGGGACAATACGGGGTTTTAGTGTCTGACCAGCAGAAACATTACTGTTGAGAGTATTTTGAGGTTGTTCGAGAGTTGGGGTTGAGTTTGTCTGTTTGAATGATAGCACCAGCACTTCTGCTTAGTTTGTGGAGTGTTCCTCACTAGCAAGAGGGATACCGTATGAGCGAGATTTTGTCGTTGGATGATTTTGCTCGTGTGTGGAGAATGACGCGTCGCTACGTGTTCTAGTGTGGCAGAGCGGGGGGAAGAAGTTGGAAGTCGGTGCGTCGTCTGCAGCAGGTGCCATAAGCAGTGGCTCAAGAGAGATAGTATCTGACGAAGGAGCGACACTGGTGCTGTAGCCGGACCAATAGGGCATTTGTGAGGGGCGGTGTCACTGAACATGGCGAAACAGGAGACGCCTATGCCGACGTTGAAACTCAACAACGGTGGAACAATGCCTGCTATCGGGTTGGGCACCATCAGTTTCAACGAATCTGACGAGAAGATAAAATTCGCCACCCTGACTGCCATTAGGGTAACAACTCAACTTAGCTTACCGACTCCCTCTCAAAGTCTTTTTTGCTGCAATCAACCGTCTCGTCTCCCCGAGCAGATTTTATTCGGTTTCATTTCAGGAGTTTTAACATCAATGAAATCTCTCAGACGTCTTTGTAATAATAATGTGAATTCCGCTCGCTGATAGTTCAAAGTTAAGAATCAATAATGCAGGCTTCTATAGGAGTTTGGATCTCGACCAAGCAAGTCTTCCTCTTCGACACGTAGACCTGTAGCCAGATGTAACAATTTTGTCATCACTGCAAAGATTTATTAATTTTTGTTTATTTGTTTATTTGTTTTGTTTCAGTTTGTCGGTTTTTATGCGTCTCATCGATGCAAACTAGGTGAAAACTAGGTGCATCGTCATTTATGTCTTCCAAAGCGAAGTATTTTACGTCGCTTTTGATGCTTTGATTCTCTGCGTGATCGTTTAGCTTTATTGTCTGAAGAATTAATTATTGACCATAACTCATTCTATTCTGAGTGAGAATGCCACACAACCCGGAACTGATTTCGCTGACCGGGAAGACCGATCGGCATTTTCGTTTTGAAATTCAAGGAATAAGATCAATTCTTAGAACACCGCTAGCATTAAAAATGTTGAAACTGCGTGTTAATTATTCGAGTGTTGTTAAACTCTGAAGATGGGATATCGGCATGTGGATACGGCCAGCGGTTACCACACTGAGGTATTGCTAGGTGAAGCCCTCCAGGAGGCTATGAAGCTGAATCTTGTGACGAGGGAGGACATGTTTGTGACCACAAAACTTGCTCCTGACGAAGTGGATCCTCGAGACATCGTCCCCTCTCTTCGAAACAGTCTCAGGTATCGTCTCCCCGCCTCCGTCCCCAAAGTTCCCGATCCAGATTGCTTATGAATGTGGACATCCTTCTAGCGGAAATGGTCATTGTTGTCGGATTCAAACACTATCTTCATGAAGCTGTCTCCTTCTGGAAGAATTGGACCTTGTAAATCCTGTTCAGACCTAAGTTTTGTCTGGAGGAGACCCTCTTATGGTGATCTTTGCCACTTGGTGTAATGGCTGCAGCAAGTTGCAACTGGAGTATGTGGACCTGTTGATGATCCATTGGCCTCTCCAACTGAAGAAGGGCGCCAAGATGCCGCCACGGGAAGGTGATTTCTTACCCTTCGACCTACGGGCCACATGGGCGACGCTGGAGCAATGTGTGGAGAAGGGACTAACGAAGTCCATTGGAGTCAGCAACTTCAATGTAAAGATTCTCAATGAGCTTATGTCGTTCGCCAAAATACCACCAGTTGTGAACCAGGTAAACCGATTCAATCGAAACGAGTCAATGTTGGGGTTCAACGTTGCCGCTAGGAGTCAACGAACTTACCCTCTTGAACGCATTCGCATCATTCTCTTCGCAGAAATCATATCACAATGTCTTAGGTTCTGAAAAACTATTTTTTTTTGTGGGGGCAGGTGGAGTTGCATCCTCGGTGGCAGCAGAAAAGGATGAGGGAATATTGTGCAAGTGTGGGCATCATTGTCGAAGCTTGGTCACCACTCGGAGCTCCTGGTCAGAAGTACGGAACCCACGATTTACTTGCCAACTCCACTCTTCAGCAAATTGCTCAAAAGCATCAGAAGACTACTGCTCAGGTGTGTAGGGGGGAAAATAACATAACATAACATAAAATAAGGTTACACAACCCCATTGGTTTCAGGCTCTTACTGTGCTTACCTGTGAAAAACTATGTGGTCCATCTTCGTTGGGTTTATTACCCTTTCTACTCTCCTACAACCCGAGATTGCGTGCATTTCGATGCAGGTGTGTTTGCGCTGGATCTTCGAGTGTGGGTGCAGTTCCGTGCCGAAGAGCTTCAACAGGCTGCGGATGTCGCAGAACTTCGCCATTTTTGACTGGCAGCTGGACGAGGAAGACCACAAGTGGATCGACGCCATCCCTCAGAACAAGTACTTCCTGGCGGCCTTCTTGTGCAACAAGACCACCAGCCCTTTCAGGTCTGTTGACGAGCTTTGGGACGGGGATTGCTGAGTCAACAGGAAGGTTAATCAAGGTTAACCTACTTCGTTTCCAGCTTCACCACCGCACAATGACTTCGTTGCACACACATACACACTCACACACATAAACATACACACTCTCTCTTTCTCTCTCTCTCGCTCTCGGCTAAGCAAGTGGTACAACTTCGAATGAAGAAAACAGCAACATATATGCGTGATTTCCAATACATCGGGCTTCACGTTCTATGAAGATGTACACCTTTCACTGCACCTTAGGACATGCGTTTTTAAGGATAGGAAGTATATACAAAGGGATAATCTATTGTGGCTGTGTCTGGTTGTCTTTTGTGAGCTCTCCGACTTTCGTCGTAGCGTTTGGGGAGTTTAATTTGCAAGCTGAATGTGGAAGGAATATTTGTATTTTTTTTAAAACAGTATGGTTGTTTTTATATCAGAAACTCTAGTGATCATCTACTTCGATGTATGAGCTTCTGATTTTAGGTTTCTTCGTGCCAGCGTTTGCATTGCGAAGTTCTGCATGATCATCCATCGTCGAAGTGATATAATGTCCAGTGAGATGTACACCAGTCCGCGCAAATCTAGGAATATTCCGATCAATTATAGGATTGTTATGCTTGTTTCTACGACATTGGCCCAGATCTACTGGATTATGGCAATTGATGATGATGATGATGATGAAATGTCTTTGGGCTACCAAGTCGTCAAATTCGGATCTGAAATCTATGATTTTCTTAGCTCCGGTTCGCATCAAGAGAATAATTCATCGTGATCGGATCCTCGTTATGATTACCCAGTCACAGAAATTCTTGTCCTTCAAGAAATCGGAGTATGGGCAAATACACATCATTTACTCGGTTAACACTGTAACTCAAGTCGTAGTGAGCGTAATTGGTCAAATTGAGAAGCAGGGCTGGCATCTGCAACATCTGCATGAAAGTTAGTGTGCCTGAGGGAGGAGCTGTCCAATCCCGACCAGCGGCAATAACAAACACAGGCATTCTTCTTGGGATCTGTGCTAGATTGTAATTAGGCGCTGTAGGTTGGCCGTATGTAGCATAGTTGCTTGCGGCACTGCCGTAGTCGTATCGAGCGAACCTGTTTGTCCTTATTCCTGTATGTGCAATTGCGGCATAAGCTTCAAAGAATTTCTTAGAAAATTTCGAATATTTTGCAACTTTCATGTCACGATCCTCATTGCAAATGTAACTGAGCAGTCAAAAGCTCTTTACTTGGTGATTGTGTTTTCACACCTTGTTGCCATTGCAGAAGATTTTTAAAAGAGGTCGTGCCATCCCAACTCATTTTGAGCTCAATACTCGCTGTACCCAGGCAGCAGTTTGGCCCTGCAGAAAACCGAAAAAATGGTGGTGATTCTGATTCATGTGTGATCTAGTGGCTGCGTGTTAACATGATTTGAAAGTTTGCTGGTGGGAGAATAACATGATCTCCTTGACAGTAAATGTGACCTGAGCACGTGGGTGACGGTAAGCAGGGTGATACTGAGAGTATATTGCCCTAACAATATACATCAGATGAAATATTTCGTCAACAGGGATCTTTACCTGTAAGCAAGCTAAGTACAACACCAGTTGTTCCTGTGACGGAAATATTCGAGCTGGACCCCGGAAATTCTCTGTTACATAATCAATGTGAGGATGTTCCCGAGTGCTAGACTATCCATAAGTTGAAGCGTATGAAGACATTTAAGAAAAACTCGACTGTCCTGACTGTATCAGTGGAATTACGATATAGTCATGAACCTAAAATGATGCAATTAGCGATGTTTTTATTTATAAAATTTGCAGTAATTCACAATGATAAAAGATAATCATAAATGGAATCGAAAAAATACATTCGCCGTTGAGGCATTTCTACACTTAGAATTTTATGGTTCAGTGATACTGACGATGAAAAGTTGAACGCTCCATTTTGATACCCTGTTGAATAGTAATTCTGTTCATCAACAGATGAGAACGAAAATTCCAATTAGTTGACCAACAAGGAAATAAATTCCTGCTTTCATTATCTGTCTGCTGCAATCTAACCTGGACATGACTTTGGACGTCTGTTGTGACCTCGAAATCCATCCTAGAGCTTGCTAAATTCTTTGTAGCAGCATGTTATGTTATTAGGCCATATAAGTTTCGCACCGAATCAATCTGTGCTCCAAAATAATACGCCCATGCATCCAAGAGAATGGAATTCGTGTTTCCGCGATAAGCAGTAGGGCCAATGAGTGTTAGGCTCCTAATCATCTGCGCCGTTTCTTGATTGGTTGCGCCTGCAGCTCCTAATGTCGCGGACTGCATCATCGATTTTTAATCGAAAAGGAAATACGTAGACATCGGTTACTATTTTAAATCACAGCGAAAAAACTACCTCAGTGGCTCATCTAATTATAATACCTGTGACACACCAATGACATGAACAGGCTGATTTGTCTGGGCCGAAATTAAGCGCAGCTGCGCAGGAAAGTCATAATCTGCATGTTGATCCCAAGTCCAGTTCCAGTATTCCTGAAATTAAGCAGAAATATTCAACCTTAAGCAGAAAATTACGTAAACCAATTGCGAACCACAAACCGAACTTAGTTCTCAAATGTATTTGTCATAATTTGCTAGCGTAACTAATGATTCCCTAGAGTCATGGCGGACAGCAACAGAATTTTCCGCATGTGACCATGCAAATGTACCATGTTTTAGAAATAACATTTTACCAAATGTATGACGAGGGGATTGAAATTATCATATGAAGATGGGAGATACGACCAGGACACTGAGTGGCTTGAGTTACCCGATCTGTTTTCTTTAGATGAACATGACCATGTCCCCAGTACGTTGCACGCTGATGACCTATCCAAACGTCAAAACCGTCATCGACAAGCATGAAGGGCAGCAAACGATCCGAGTGTGAGCTATCAACATACTGGAACCAGGAATCGCCATTGAGAAACTCTTGATGCATGATCAGTACAGGTGCGTTCTTTCCAGCCTGCAAAGAAGGCCATTCGATTCCATAAACATGAAATTGGTGCTTATTTCCACTATCAAAAGCTTAGTGACACTATGGACATTGGTAAAGTCGTCTCCACTCTTCGAACACAAGTCATAAAATACTAAAGCCTTGAAAGCACTATCGCTACGATCTGTGCCAATCTGCGTGGAAAGTTTGTTGAGCTGTGCACAGAACTAGCCATGGAAGATTACGCCAGGGTTCACCTGATTAGAGAGTGAACAAACCATCAGATTATGGTTCTTATTCAAGTGAAAGGAAATATTGAAAGATTATTACCTCTGGATGCAATGTGTAATTAGCATCTGAACTAGAGGCGGGAGTGGTTGTACGAGAAGGTATCGAAATTGTTCCATTCCTCGTAGGACTTGAATGACGGGGAGCTGGTGCTCTGGAACGCCGTCTGGAACGCTTCCTCTCAGTGGGGTTCAAGTGATTGTTTGAAGAGATAGATCGGCTTGGTGCTGCAGAATTGTTTCCAAGAGGAGCTGGTTCCCTTTTACCTTCAACTGAACGGTTCATCAAGTACGAATGTACGGGTGCTTGAATTGAGCTATCTCTGAGATGTTTTGGAGCTAGAACTTCATGCGCCTGTTGCGAAACTGTCTTTCTCTTCACATGTTTGTTTGGAGTCCCGGATGATTTTGTGGCATTGTTGGCACGGCCACTTGCCGAAGGTGGCCAAGACATTCGGCTTAAACGATGAAGCACTAGAACGAAGCCATCATCTGTTTGGACCTGTAGAACTCCGCAGAATCGGGTTTCATGCATTCAACTTGATTCATTCAATAGAGTGATTGATGCAGCCGGATAGAAAAATGGTTGATAGGCACATCTAAGCATTTTTAGAGCACAGGTAAGCATTATGAAGGTATTTCTAAGGTCGAAAGTTAATGGTTATAGCTATCTTAAAATATTGGCAGATCTCAGGGACTTTCGCAGAAATCTTGGCATGTAAGCATATCCACGTAGCTAACGAGTCTTCGTATTTAGAAATACACTCTAGCGTTAAGAAATACTCCTGACAGTCTTAGCAGTCTACAATCTTCCAATATGTCGAATACGGTTTTGCTATGTCTTGAAACTGTGAGCAAAATACTCCATAAAATTGAATAAATTATCATATGATTCCTAATAAAATGAAGTTACACACAACTAATCAAAATTACACTTATTAGTTTGTCATTGGTTACAGTCCCGCTTTAGTTACGTGTAGCAACGTTGGTTCGAGAGATTATAAAGCACAGATCTTATCATAATCGCATCATCATGCCTACTACATCACCAGCGGCAGTATCGATTTGTGGCATGAAGAAGTCAAGAAAGCAGTCCACACGTTAGAATGGTAGTATCTTATCTGCAGATTGCTTACTGTGAATTCTTCGCAATCGTAAAGTCCAAGAGGTTCCACTACTTGCTTGCAAAATGCTGTGGCGCCCTCCACTCTACCAGAAACCGTAAACAGCAGTAAGCACAGCAGCAACAAATTCCGTTCTCCCATCACAAATGGCATTTCCTCTCACACGCGCCGATTCCGTAAATTTCAGGTGCACAGTGCGTCTCGCTTAACAACTGACAACAAGCTCCCTCGAAAGAAGCTCAAAACATAATGGCGAGATTCCTTTCGTCTCCCTACTGTGCGCGCTAAAATTCACCCTCGGCCCGCCACACTTCGAAATTCGAATGAGCGATCGATAAAAGGTGCGGGTATAGAATCCCAAGATGCATACCCGAAAGTATCTATGCCCGTGGAAGGTCTGAAATTCCCATTTCATGCTCTCGTAGAGTGGCAACTAAAAACATCGAACACCATAGTCTCTAACAAAGTAGGAGTTTGAGTGTAGGTATTGTAAAATTCTTCGTGCATAATAAGAGAGTTATCTTTATTCACATTGGGGTAATTATATATACACTTCAAACGCAATATGTTTGAGGAGATCAACATGCTTTCTATTTTCAATAAATGTGTTTAAACTATGAGTCAACATTGATCGTATCTGACTCATATTCTAATTGAGATGAATACTGATGCGTATCATATTCATCCATGTATAACCTAGGTATTGGCTTGGTATTGGCCAAGTATGAGGACGGAAATCCTCGGCACAATTTTTGCCGATACTTCCTCTTGCTTAGTTTTTTTTTATTTTTTTATTTTTACATTTTCACATTTTCAATATGGGTGCTCGGTTTTTGCTGTGATGTTGAACTTCACTATGTTGGTGTTCGATACTCAAGTTGATCATCTCTAGTTGGTGAGTTGATGCTGTACTTTTTTTTTCTTGTTTTTTTTTGTTGGTGTTTTAATTGTGATCACTTGTACTTGCACATTTTACTGTGAAGTGTTGTTAATAAGTCTTTGGCTTCTGGTCACGATTTTAAGAAGATGCTACAATGTTGTAATTTTTTACAACTATCAATTATTATGCAAGTCCCTTAAGAGGTTTGAGGATCCGGTACTTGAGGTTGAGTAAAATGCAGACTGCAGTATAGGTTCTGAACATAAAACATCGTATGAAGTTCTTCCTCTAGATAGTGTAAGTTCTCTTTGTTCTAGGTCATTTAATGTATTGTTCTCTCAATTGCAGCTTGATATCAATTTTGTAAGAAGGGAAATAATAAATAGAGTGTTAAATATAAATAATTTTTTTCTTCTTATAAGACTACAGGGTTTGAGTAGAGACTTCAGAAGAGAGATAATATCTAGTATACATTGAAGTATTCTAATGTTTGTAAAGGTTAATATACTTGGCTATCAATACGACATTATAGCTAAAGATATTGCTAAAGATATCAAACCTAAAGACTTATTCTATAGGGATAGAGATGAGTATTTGTTTTTTATAACAATGTATAGTGAAAGTGTAGAAGAACTTACCATGTGAATATTATATAGAAATGTAGGTTTGAATTCTAATGTGCAACTAATATAGAATTAAGGAAGAAGTTGAATTAATTCCATCTCCTTCTTTACTTTAAAGTATTGCATTTTATTGCTTAATTTTGTTAGCATATCAGACAATTATTTTTTTGTATATATATATATATATATATATATAAACTTGAACTTTACGAAGTTGAATCTTTTTTAATTGAAATAAAAATATATTTTGATATGATTAGTTCTTGTACATAATAATAGATTAGCTACCAATTTTATACATCCTTGATTATTGTTCATAGTTGGTGTTGTTTTATTGATTTAAATATATAGATCTTTGGATAGTCTTTGAAACCATGTGATATCTTATTTTCTTTCAAATAATACTTTATATTTTGCCTTAAGAATACACAAAGCAACAATACTTTATAATTTTGAATTCTAATTAAATAAAGAATTTTTAATTATATATATATACTCAAAAATAGATTTACATGAATCTATCTCTACTCTAATCTACATCAATATAATCTATCAACTTTTATGTATATTTTTTATTTTTATATATTTTTTAAATAATGGATTCTAAGATTTTTGTACCTTTTAAATAATTTAGAATGTACATTCTAACTTTCCAAGGTGATGTACAATATTTGAATGTAAAACTAATATTTGATCATCCAACCTTTGATAGGTATAGAAGGCTTCCAATAAGCCTTATATTTTATATTGTCAACCAACTTGTCATCCATATTGCTTTGTAGTTTGGTTCTTTTATTCATTGGAGTTGAATTGGAGTTACAATCTAGCATGCCAAATTTATCAAGTGCAATATGAACATAATTTATTTGATGAAGAATTATATTACTTTTGGAGTGCTTGAACTCAACTCAAAAGTAAGTTTGAATAAGTTCTATATTAGTAATTTCAAATTAAGATAATATTTTATTTTTTATTTTTTTATTTTTTATTATCACTTATAGTTATCAAATCATCTATATATAATAATATGAATCTATATTCATCTTTATAATATTAAATATAGAGATTGAAGTCTACATATTATTTTTTTAATCTACTTTTTATAAATATTCATGAATTTTCATATACCAAGCTCAAAAAAATTAATAAAGATCATATATTTAAATTTACATATATTTTTTTTATTACTTCCATGTCCTTTGAAGTAAGGTGAGATAATCATGTATATATCTTTTTTTTAATATTTTAATTATGAATATTATTTTAATATTATATTATTTCATTTTTTATTGATAAAAGGTTGCTAATGCAATAATGATTTTGATAGTCTTCTATTATATAACATGAAAAAATATTTCAAAAAAGTCTTTTCTCTCTTGTTGCTCAAATTATTATGCCACAACTTGAGCTTTGTGTTTTTCAATGGTTTTTGTAGCTTTGATTTTTATTTTGAAAATCCACTTGGCTATGATAGGCTTTTTTTCAAATAATTTATTACAATTTTTTTATATATTTTTTTTAAACTCTAAACTTCATGATTAATGGCTTCTTTCTATTTTCTATCTTTAATTGCTTCAAAATAATCAATAGGATCAAATTCAGCATATATACTTAATAACTTACTATTTTTAATATTTACTAAAAGTTGTCTATATTTGTCATTTTTTTTTGTATTTTCATGTAATATGGCATTGAGTACCAAAGCCTATGTGAGTGTAAATTTCACTCCTCAGCCCCAATTAGAAGATGGCCTAAATTAAGAGTTGTTTGAAATTGGTGGTATGAAGTGAAGTAAGCAATTGGCAAAAGACCAAGGAGGAACAACCACAATACAAGTAAAAGAGATGAAATCAAGTAATTACAACATCCAAAACGAAGTCACAGTCCGTTCACTAGATTTTCACCCAGTAAAAAGTAAAAGTAAAAATTAAAAAGTATATTTTTAAATAGATAATTTCTTTATCTTTCCAATGACATAAAAATCATGTAATTCCAAGTTACTATGATTAAGTTATGATAGATAAAAGATAGAATGTAAATAATAGAAAAGTTAAGTGAATAATTTTTACCTCAAGGATAACTTGCTTAAGAAATCAGGAGTTCGAGCCTCACCAAGGCTCACAAGTAGTGTATATCCCCCCCCTCAAGAGGCCTTGAGGCCTTAGTCTTATCTTCCTACCTTACCCAAGGTGCTACAACCCATATGGGAATTGTGCACCTCTCTTCTTACAAGGACTACACTAGTTGCTGGTCCTCCTATTTTCTATTAGTAAAACTACTTTTTTTGCATTTTTGACCACACCATGGTGTTCAAAAAAACCCAATTAGCCTCGAAACTTTGCATAGTCTTCAAATCTTGCTTCATTTCTTCATAATGGCTCTCAAGGTGATAAAACTCAATTTTATGAAAGTCTTAAAATTTTCTCTAAAAATTCTAAATAAATTCTAAATAAATTCTAAAAAATCCTATAATATTTCTATAATACTAATATCTATATGAAGCTATATTTTCCTATCTTGATGATTTTTTATAGTAATAAAATAAATTTAAATCCACTAAAAATCCTATTTTTTATATAATTAATTAAAAAGACATGAAGCTCTTTTTCATGCTTCTTCTAACTACTAACTAATCATTGATAGGATTTTATAAGTAATACATGTAGATAGGAGCCAATGAAGATATTGGTTTCAATAACTAACTCTTAATACTTAACAATAAAAAAAATACTAAACTAACTAAGATAATTGCCTCCAAGACTTACTAAGACTTCATTTTTATAACTTTTCTTCTAATAACACTTTTGCCACTTATAAATACTTCTAAATTATAATAAATACTCAAATAGTCAAAAAAAACTCTCTACTCTTAACATTTGTATAATTGAATGACTTAAAATTATATTTTTAACTAATCCACTAATTAAGATTAATTTGTGGGACTCACATCCTATCAAATATATGTAATTTAATTTGGTTAGTGGTTTTTTTATCTATTGATAGTTTTTTCATTAATTGACTTTATTCATATCAAGTAGGATTTGAATACTTAAATAAAAAAAATCCTTGATTTGAAATCTTATCAAGCCAAATCTTATGAATGATTTTAAAAATGAGAGAACTTATTGTAAGGATTTTCTTGATTATAGTGATTTAGCCATTTTAATAAAGCTTTAGGATTTTTCTTATTTTTATAGTTGTACTCTTGGATTCTTTTTTTGTAGTATAAAAGATAACTTGACTTAATTTGGTATAGATTTCTAATCTTTTCTTTGATAAAAATCTCTCCTTTTCTTCAATTTGTAGTATAACAGAGTAGTTTTTATAATTATAGACTCATTGCATGGTCATAAGATATTTAAAATAAAATAAAATAAAATATACATATCTAAAATTTTTAAATGTCAAATTTGGAAGCTCTTTCTAAATATATATGAAGTCCAAATTTGATTATTTTTGAGTCAATTTTATATAGAAAAGATTTAAGGAGTATATTAGCATACTTAGTTTTAGAAGTAGAGGTCATTTGAAGGATTGAATTGACATTTATTAAATATTGATTGCTTTTTAAGTGAGTTTTTGATTTTTTTCTGACTTCTCTATATTTCATTTTATTACAATTATTTTTTTATTATTACATGTTATGTAATTTGTAACCATCAACCATAGGATAGTGCTAGTTGCTGTGATTCACTTTTGATTTTTGCTTATATATTATTGGAGATGAAGATCTAAGATAGATTTATGGATTTTTTTTTGTACCTTTCTCTAGTTGCAGATATTGTTCTAAAAGGTTTTCCATGGTTATTCCATTTTGTATTTGTTCTATTTTGTATTGATAGCCATACCATAGGAATGAAGTTAGACTGATGGTCAATAAGATCATTTTTTTTGTGGATATATTAGACATATAATGATCCAAAAGTGATTGCCAATGAATTGCAAAGATTGGAAGTTTTGTAAATGCAAGTTGTCTTTTTAGCTTTTAAATAGTTGTAGGTAGTCAAATAGTC